AATCAATGATATCAATGATATTAATAAAAATATATGAATATATACAAAAAAATAATAAAAATATAAAAAAGAACATTAATAACATTAATAAACACTAAAACAATTATATATTATATTATTATAATAATAAATTATATTAGATATATTTTTAGAGATAATAATACAATACATATTAAAATAATATTGTTAATAAAATATATTAATAAATATCTAAATAATGAAAATATAAAAATAAAAACTAACTAAAAAAATGACTAAATACTAAAAAGAATATTATCTTAGATATGTTAATAAATACTAAAGATATTAATATTTTATATAATAATTATTTATATTTACATATTTAATTATTATTAAAATATTTAAATGAATAGTACAAATAATGAAAAAGTTTTACATATAATAATAACAATTACTAAAAATATATTAATAATGTATATTAATAAATACTAAAAAGAAAGAAAATGTAAAAAAAAAAAAGACTAATTAAAAACATGAATAAATACTATATATAAATATATAAATACTACTAAAATAACACCAGTGTGGTGCCCAGGTTACACCAGCAAACCACCTTGGCTAGTTATAAAAAAAATTTCCGCTGGGAAACAAAACAAAATAGCAATAGCTAGCTTTATAATGGCAGTGAATGGGTGTTATTTTTCAACAGTCCAAAAGAAGTCCAATGAAGCGCATCCATCCATAATAAAATGTGCCTCACACGGCTCCGGGGGGAGAATAAAGGCCTCCTGTAGCGAATCGATTATTTATTTACATTTTTATAAACCGTAATCTGTAGCTTCCGCTAACTGTCGTTCGCAATAGAACGCCATTCTGGCGGATGATGTAGGTGTAGCGTTAGCTCCAGTGAGATATGCTAGTCTTGCATATAAATATATAAATACTACTAAAATAACACCAGTGTGGTGCCCAGGTTACACCAGCAAACCACCTTGGCTAGTTATAAATTTTTTTTCCGCTGGGAAACAAAACAAAATAGCAATCAACACATTTAAGAAAAAGAAATGACTTCTGAAAGTACCATTAATTAATTGAGTGGAGAATAAAGGCCTCCTGTAGCGAATCGATTATTTATTTACATTTATATAAACCGTAATTTTTAACTTCCGCTAACTGTTGTTCGCAATAGAACGCCATTCTGGCGGATGATGTAGGTGTAGCGTTAGCTCCAGTGAGATATGCTAGTCTTGTGAGAACCAACATTTGTTATCAGGAGCAAAGAAAGCAAAGTTTCCTTACTTTAGCAAAGGAAAACCAGTCTCCTCTTGGCTTGTATCGAAATCCTCCGACATTTTTCTTTACGAATCCTCGTTTTGTACTTCTAATTTGTGACCGGCGTTTTGTTTTGCTCTCTCCTCTGCGGTTCCGCGTTCGTCACTAATCACTGCCGCTTACGCTACGCATACATCCTTGCCTCACACGGCTCCGGGGGGAGAATAAAGGCCTCCTGTAGCGAATCGATTATTTATTTACATTTATATAAACCGTAATTTTTAACTTCCGCTAACTGTTGTTCGCAATAGAACGCCATTCTGGCGGATGATGTAGGTGTAGCGTTAGCTCCAGTGAGATATGCTAGTCTTGCGAGAACCAACATTTGTTATCAGGAGCAAAGAAAGCAAAGTTTCCTTACTTTAGCAAAGGAAAACCAGTCTCCTCTTGGCTTGTATCGAAATCCTCCGACATTTTTCTTTACGAATCCTCGTTTTGTACTTCTAATTCGTGACCGGCATTTTGTTTTGCTCTCTCCTCTGCGCTTCCGCGTTCGTCACTAATCACTGCCGCTTACGCTACGCATACATCCTAGCAGAAGTGAGAGAAAAGTGTTTATAACGTTTTAAATATGGACATTTTTCTTACAAAAACACATCGATTCGCTACAGGAGGCCTTTATTCACCCCCGGAGCCGT